TTTAGATAAACGCACGAATGCCAGCTGCATAATGGGTTACTAAGGGAAACCAGAATGGCCTGATTCTGAAATCTGACATTAGGAAGGCATGCGGCCCCTATCCCATAGACCCCTTGCCAGAGTCACAATCCAACACTGATCCAGGGCCTGAGCTTTGCTCACGACTAAGCCAGTAATTTTAATAACACTCTAAAAAGGGAATGAAACTCCAAAACTTCAAGACGGGGGATGGCCGGACCAGGGACCCACAGCCAAGGCAAAGCCATGACGAGTTGCAGGCAGGCAAGAAGCACCTTGTAACTGATTCTGTGGTATCTGGAGGGCTGTCTCACTTCTGCTTCTAGAGGCCAGACCCTCAGAGAGAACCAGGCTCCCATCTTCCACATCTGCCCTTCCCAAACACGTTTAGTGTCTTTCTTATGGACATTAGGAGATCAGACATTTGCTGAGTGAACGAACATGCAGCGCACTGAGGCAGTCTACTCTAACCCAGAGCCGTGGCCCTGCCTGAGGTCCCTGGAGTCGGAGAAGTGTGAAGGACAGCAGGGACACATGGAAGACACAAGCAGAAGTGAGATACGTGTGAACCAGCCACACAAGGACATAGCAAAGACAGCTGATGAAGAAACATTTTTGAGGAACCGTGATCCGGTACTTGAAGGGCTGTCACATGGCAAGATGAATTAATTATGTTCTATCAAAGCCCCATAAGTGAACTTTTGGCTGAATTAAGAAATAACTTTTTCCAAGCAGAGTGTTTCCCAGACTGTGCTCAGTAAAATGCTAGCATTCAGAGAGTAGGGTGCATGAGGGGAGTGAGGAAGGGAGGAAGAAAGAAATTCCAATTTATTAAATAGGAAAGTAAGTTTGTGAATTTGGATAAACTGAAGGTAAATGGATGTTCTCACTGAAGGATGTAGCTTTCAGCTCTTCTCAAACTGATGTGGCTCAAAAGCTTTTCACAGGACTCTGAGAACATCTCATATGATCTCAATATTCCATTTCACTTCTGGGGAAAAGAGGAATTAGAGCTGTCTGACAAAAGCATCATTTAAAGAGGCGAGTGTCCCAGCAGTGTTTGAGTACTTTCGGGATACAGAACTCAGCACTGCAGAGATGACAGAGATGCAACCTGAATGGAATACTAGAACCATGGGCTCATTTTCCCTGGACTTTCATCTTGAGTGAGCATGTAGCTTGCAGAAAGGTCCTTACACATGAGGATGCAGAGAGGCCGTCCCTGCTGGTCCCCTGGTGTCCACATGAGTGGGCGATAAGGATATTGCCAAGGATCCTGGAAGTAATCGATGCTGTTGAGTGGGAAGCTCAATGACAGCATGAGTTCTTGCCAGAGCCCACTGTGACTCTTCTCATGTAGTATTTTCGAGAACATATTGTCTGCCTGTCTTCGTCATCCATCCATCCATACTATAAATATTCACTGAGGGCCTTCCATAGCCTGGCAGTAGTGAGTCAAACCAGGCAAGGTGCTGCTTCATGACTGCCGCTTGGTGAATACAGACAATGAACAGATATATTACACAAATAATGGTTTAATTAAGCTTTTCCATATATGTTACAAAGGAATGAAGGGTGTAAAAGCGACAGTAACTTACACAGAGACCTGTCCAGTCTGGGGTTTCAAGGTGGGATCTTAAGGGAATGCAGAGATTATGTTTTGCAGACCCTCAAACGTGCAGGTCCAAAACAAGTCTCCGTGACATTCCTCCAGGAAACTGAAGCTCAGTAAGGTTGGGAAAGACCACACAAGTCAAATCAGCACAGACGCCTTCTCTGGAGCTACACATGTTATGGATGCTGTATTTGAAACTATGATTCAGTGGGTCTGAAAAAGGTAAACAGGTGATTCAAATGCTGCCACTCTGCAGACCACATTTAAGCAGCACTACTCTATTCAGGCATTTTAAAAGACGGATGTAAATGGAGAACTAACCATACTATGTTCATGGATAGAGTTCATGGATAGGTTCAATCATAAATATTTCAATTTTCCTCAAATTAACCTATAAGCTCAATAGATATCTAAGCAAAATTCCCAGAGTTGCTTTGTTCTTTATGGTTGTTGCTGTTTAACATAAGCTGATTCTAAAACTCATGTAGAAAACTAGAACAATTTTGGAAAATAACAAAATGAGACATTTGTCTTTCCCACTCAAGGTTTAAAATAAAACTATAGATGTGGTATTGACACAGATGTAGACAAAAAGACTAACAGAACAGATAGCCCCAAACAGGCCTGTGTAGGAAAACTATATATCAAAGATGGCATTACAAATCAGTTGGGAAAGAATGAATGATCAGTAAGTACTGCTGGAAAATTTGGTTGTGAAAAAAACAACCGAATTCTACCTCATACCATATTAAAAACATAAAATTTCAGATAGATTATATTCTTAAATGTGGGAAAAAACACAAAACTTTAAAACACTTAGAAGAAAATACAGAAAAAATTTTTAACTTTAGGGTAGGGAAATATATTTTAAATAAGACACCAACTGTGCAAACCAAAAAAGAAAAGATTGACAAATTTGACTTCAATAAAATAGAAACTTCTGTTATACCATAAATAAATAAGAAAGAAAAGCTGCACACTGGGAAAAGACAGTAATATCTAGAACATATCAAGATTCCTATCTAGAAGAAAAGACAAACAATGCAAATAGAAAAGGAAATAAATCTGAGGTTCACAGATGAGAATATCAAACAGCAAAGAAAGAAAGAAAGAAAAAACCATGAAAAGGTGCTTGACCTCACAAATAATTAAAGAAATGCAAAATTAAAATAAAGAGGTATCGTTTCATACCCATTATACCAGCAAAACAAAAACCAATCAAACTAGTGCTATCGAGAATGGAGAGTGATAGAAAGTCTCACACACGCTTGTTTGGAGAATAAATTAGATCAATCTCTTTAGAAAGCAATTTTACAGCCGGGCTCTGTGGCTCGGCCTGTAATCCCGCAATTTGGGAGGCCAAGGCCAGTGGATTGCCTGAGCCCGCAGGTTCGAGACCCGCCTGGGCAACTTGGCGAGACCTCAACTCTACAAGAAATCAAAAAAATCAGCCAGGCCTGGTAGTGCGCGCCTGTAATTCCGGCTACTCAGAAGGTTGAGGCGGAAGGATCACCGGAGCCCAGCAGGTCGAGGCTGCGGTGGCCGGGAGCGGCCACTGCACTCCAGTCTGGGCGACAGAGTGAGACTCCAACTCAAAAAAAAAGAACGCAATTTTACATTAGCTGATAAAACTGATGATGCACATACCCTAGACCCCAGCAATTCCACTCAAGGAAGCACAAACAAGACATTCACTCAATGCACCTAACAATAGTGGGGAACAGGCAACAGTCTAAATGCCCATCAAGGGGTTATGTATGGATGAACACAGTGAGGCTGTTCATACTCTATAGCAGAAAAATAAAATAAAGAACCAAAACTACAAGTACCAATGTGGATATGTCTCAAAACCAATACTGAGCAAAGAAGCAAAGGTTTTATTAAAAATATATATTAGATGGCCGGGTGCAGTGGCTCATGCCTGTGATCTCAGTACTTTGGGAGGCTGAGGCAGGAGTATTGCCTGAATCCAGGAATTCAAGACCTGTCTGGGCAACATAGTGAAACCTCGTCTCTACAAAAAAACTAAAAAGCTAGCCAGTGTGGTGGCGTGTGCCTGTAGTCCCAGCTACTCGGGAGGCTGAGGCAGAAGGATTGCCTGAGGCCAGGTGGTGGAGGCTGTGGTGAGCTGTGATCACGACACTGTACTCCAGCCTGAGTGACAGAGTGAGATTCCTCCTCAAACATAAAATTTAAAAATATACAAGAAAGACCTCAGTGCTATCTGGGGCATGTATGAGTAGAACAAGTATAAAAATGCACATGGGAATGATAAATCTAAATTCAGCATAATGACCTCTAAAGAAGGAAGGTGAGGAATGGCACCTGGGAAAAGAATAAAAATCACTCATCAAAGCCCGGCCTCCTCCACCACACACACATAGGCTACTAGTAATTTGCCTCAGGGCAAGGGAGGCTTCTTCAAGGAAGCCAGGCCTCTTCAGACTGAAAAGCCTCAGAAAGCATTTAGTCCAGCCTTCCACCCATTTGGGAAGCTTCTCTTTCACACCTGGGGCAAGGGACCCTCTTCCCTCTACAACAGAAACTCCCAAGTCAAGGCCACTGTGTATGGCTATACAAGTTGTGCACTGTACAATTCTGGAGCGCACACGTCATCATGTAAATGATGCCCTCCTCAGGTTGTCTAGTGTGCAACTTACACAACTATATCCAGCAATTCTATGAGGGTCACAGACCCTTTGGAACTCAGATAAGTCTATGCCTGTGTCTGGGAAAACACCCATCCACGCAATTATGGCTCAAAGTTAGTGGGTTCAGACACATCCCCAGTGATGACCAGCAACCCTGCACTGGTCAAGCACCCCAGGGATGGGGGTCTACAAGCTTCTGCAGTACTTTCAGACAGTGCTGTGAGACCATGTTCTTCCTTAAGCACATTTGAAATCTGCCTCCTTATAACCTCTGTCCATTAAAGTCGATCTGCTTCTTTTCCACATGACACTTCAGCTACTGAGAGAAAGCGAACCTGTTCCCCCTGGAGATTTCTACTTTCCAGGCTAAACAGACTCTTAACTTAGCTTATTGCAAACATGGTATATCTTCTCTTTTGATCCATCTGAATTTTTAAACTGCCAGTCCTTTCGCCATGCCCTCCTTGCCCTAAAAAGCAACTAGGCCTGCTGACATGTTATCAAAGAACAAGAAAACCTTCCTCTCAGCTGCCCCTTTGGGAAGCCCCTGAAGATCTCTGCTCTTGCTTCCCAAGCCATCAAATGCCCACAGACGCCAGGAAGTGCCAGGCTAGAAGAAAGACCAGGCTTTCTCCGGGGTCAGGGGCAAAGGCCACCTGGGCAGAATCAGGACGGAGCCCCCACAGGCCAAGGGAGATAAGCGCTTCTCTACTTACTCCCAAAACTCCATGACGGGGGAGGTGGCATTCTGCAGAGACACATGGCTGTAGTTGCTCACATTCAGCTTCTGGAACTCCACACAATTCTCTACAATGGAAACAAGACAAGAGATATAGAAAATTAACTTCCACGAAGGCCAAATCTTTAAAAAAAGTTCAGAGTTGATGTGCAGTCAGGCAGTTTTATCTGGCTGCTCCGAGTAAACATGCCTCAAAAGACACTGCAGGGAAAATCAATTACTTTACAAACAGGAGAGATGCTTGGTCTGATGAGTAAAGACAGGTTTTGGGGTCAGAGGGCCTCCCCTCTCCCACTCTCACCCTACACATCCTACCAAAGTCTCTCCTCCAGCCTCATCTCTCCTTTTCTTTTTCCACTTCCCTGCCTAAGAGCTGTCTGTGGCATCTGTCTGTCTAGGGAAGTGGCCCCTGTTGGAATGCAGGGACCAAAGGAAAGTATTGGTTGTGGTGCCCCTAGGGCAATGATGCGGTTGAGGCTCAGTTTTCCCCTTCCACTACTGGGGTTAACATCACAGAGATGTGGTGATGGGATGGAACGTGAGCCCACTTGTGGAAAGAATCCCTGGTTTCTTCATCATTCTCTCCTTGATCCAAACAGAAAGGATTTGCTGAATGCCTCTTTTCATTTCATGAAAATTGATGACCATGGGAGAGTTGAATCCCGAGTAAAAAATTCCTAGTGTTCATCCTCCAAGGCCCAGAGAAACCTGTCGACCCCTCCTCCAGGAAGTCTTTCCTGACCTTCCTTCCCTGAATTCTAAGAAAGTTCGAATTCAAAGGCCCTCCAAGGAATCACCTTCTCCAACTCTATTTTGAAGAAAAATCTGAGTTTCAGAAATAATCAAGGGACACACACATGTACCCTCTTCCTCCTCTATAATTTACCAGCCAGTTAGAGACAGAACTGAGAGTCAACTCAGCTGGGGCTCCATCTCCTTTGCCATAGTGCTGTCCACCATCATGTAACCTGTGTCCCTCTGTCTGCAGAGCCACCTGGGCCTCCAGGCTTCAAGCAGGGCTTCTTACACCTGTTCACCTGAGAGCCCCCTACCCCCCCCTCCGAGTGACCAGCACCCAGCCAGTGCCCAACCAGTTTCACGCTGGCACGTCTTTCTTCTCATGCCCGTAGGCCCCATCTAAACCGCACCTGTGCTCTCTATACGTGACGCGCTACACACTGCAAGTGTCTGCATGCCTTCAGAGAAAGAGGATTGCAAACCATTAGAAGAAAGAGGCTTGCAGCCCACTGGGGAACACTCCCTGATGTCTGCCTCCTTTCTGCTCCTCCTGGCAGGTGCTAAATATACTCTGAAAGGAGGTGGACTGGAGAGGAGACTGGAAACCTGAAACTATAAGCTAGACGTCTGGATGAGTCCTGTGTCTTTTTCTGGGGAGAGAGCCCTTAGTTTTTATCAGATTCTCAAATTATTTTTCTAGAGTAAGAAAAATTTATCAGGCACCCAAGGTCGATCAGTTGTTTTTATTAAAATGATATTTAACCATGTACAAATAAACAGTGAGTCATAAAGTCTCTGGTTATAGTATTCGTACAACTATAAAAGAAAAATTAAATTTACAAATTAAATACCAACTAAGCTATGGAACCAACACAATTCAAAGTGATGAGAGAAAATGAATGTGTAGGATAATGTCATTGGTGAAATCGAACTAATTTCCTGACAGAAAAATGGAGTTGACAGGTAGGAGGCAGGGTCTGTTGAGGTCAGCAGGTTTATTCCTCCAAGGGCTTCTTGAGGCCTCTGGTCACACTTCTGCAAAACCATTCCTACGGTTGGCTGCATTCTCAGCTGCACTCCAGTTGATACCAACGTTCTATGTATGAACTAAATCTCTCAGCCCTCTTTCCCTTGGCCACCATCATTCTACTTACCACGAATGCATCTTATCCTTTTTTTTTTTTTGAGTTAGGGTCTCACTCTGTCAGTCAGACAGGAGTGCAGTGGCAAGATTACAGTTCACCACAGCCTCAACTTCCTGGGCTGAGGTGATCCTTCTGCCTCAGCCTCCTGAGTAGCTGGGCCTGCAGACACGTGCCACCTTGCTTGGCTAATTTTGGGGGGCTTTTTTGTAGAGACAAGGTCTCACTATGTTGTCCAAACTGGTCTCGAACTCCTGCGCTCAAGCAATCCCCCGTCTCGACCTCCTAAAGTGCTAGGATTACAGGCCTGAGCCACTGCACCCAGCCGCATGCATCTTAAATTATAAACATGCATAAAGTCGGGCACTGGAATCTCCCGACTATCCTCAGTAAAAGGTGCTTGTACAGACATCCAGAACATGTGCATATTTTTAGAGTATCCTCAAAATAAATACACACAATTAAATTATCATAGAGGACTCACAGGCTTCCAAGAAGATGTTCTTGAATCTTAGTTTGATAAACATCTCTATGTGGTCCCTGGCTAAAGGAAGGTTAAAAACCAGGGCCCTACAGAAAGACAGCAAGATCTCCACAAAAATGCAGTGCCCAGGGGTAGAGGGGAATAGGGCAGAGCCATACAGGACTAGAAGCTAGATCACAGCACTTTCTAGGATTAGTTCCTGCTGTTGCTTCTGCTGGTAACCAACAGCCTACCCAGTCTTACCGCATCTCAGACCTCAGGATACCAGGCTACTTCCAGACACACCTAACCACAGGTTATCACATGAATGGTAAAGAGGTTAAAGTGTGTGCACTGATTCCAGTCAGAGGTTGTCGGGAGCACTGCTGAGGAGGGTTCTGAGGCGAAGACTAGACTAGAAAGGAAGGGGTGCTACAATCGATTATTGATGTCTGTTGTGAGCACTGCCATCTTAGAAAGGCTATTTTCTCCCTAGATTATAAAACTCAACAGGAAGACAAATTAGAAAACAAACGGTATGCCAGAATCATATCTAATCTAAAAGATTAGCCATTCCAGGGGACTAAATTCAAATGTCTAGCAGGGTTGGAGGTAAAGTAGGATGAACAGATGAGCTGAGTAGGGATTGTGGCAACCCAAGAACAGATATAGCATACACAGGCAATAGCCACTTCTCAGCTCTAGTCATTACTGGCAAGCAGGAATGTGTGCCTTATGTTGCCAGACTTTTTTGTTTAGGAGAAGCTGGGAATCTGGATTTTTCATGTGAATCTTATTATTTTTATTTTTTGGAATCAGGGTCTCACTCTGACCCCAGGCTGGAGTGCAGGCCCACTGCTGCCTCAAACTCGTGGGCTAGAGAGTCTTAGTCTCCCGAGTAGCTGGGACTACAGGTGTGTACCACCACACCCGTCTAATTTATGTTTTGTAGAGACAAGGTCTCACTATGTTGCCCAAGCTGACCCCAAACTCCTGGGCTCAAGCAATCCTCCTTGGTATTCCAAAGCGCTAGGATTACAGGCATGAGCCACTGCACCTGGCCTCCGATTTTTAAATTTTGGCAACAAAATACATTTGTAAAATTTCCTGGCTTGGCTCGGTGGCTCAACCTGTGGTCCCAGCACTTTGGGAGGCCGAGGCGAAAGGATTGCCTGAGCCAGGTTCAAGATAAGCACAGGCAACTTGGCAAGACCTCATCTCTAAAAATTAGCTGGGCGTGGTAGCGTGCACCTATAGTTCCAGCTACTTGGAAGGTATAAGGATCGCCAGAGCCCAACAGGTCAACACTGGAGTGGCCGTGAGCATGCCACTGCACTCCAGCCTGGGCAACAGAGATTCCAACTCAAAAAAAAAAAAAAAATTCCTGTTTATTGATCTAAAGCCTGATTGGCCTATAGGTCCTCTGTCTGCAGCCCTTGGCCGGTCTAACCTCTTCATTTTATAGAGGAAAACCTGCCACTCAAAGAGGCAGGCCTGGAACCAGAGCCCTGGTTGCCTGAATCTAAGCCCAGGTGTTTCTTCCTCATACCCTCACTCTGGCCCCAAAGGGCTCAGTCCCTGAATTTGGCAAAGAGAGTAAAGAACACCACCAGTCTCCTAACCACACCAGTCCCTGGGCCAGAACTCGGTTCAAGCTTCAAGGCTGCATCTCACAGAATGTACCAGACCAGGTGCAGAGCTGACCCCGGTTTCAGTGGAACCACTCCAGAAAACTGAACTCAGGATGAGAGGCCAGAGGCCAGGACTGGCGTGGAGGACAAGAATGTGCCCTCAATCCCAGGTCCACCAGCAGGACCAGCAGAGAGACCTCCGTGGAGCCATACCTGTGTTCCACTCGTGCCCACAGGTGGCCCAGGGGAGCTCCGTGGTGAAGCAGTTGCTCAGGTAAAAGATGGCCCATGCAAGGATGATGATGTAATACACGTTTAGATGGGCCTCGATCACCTGCGTCGCATAGCCAATGCCTGGAAAGGAGAGGGAGCAACTTGAGTCTCTCCATCTTTTCAAAATAGCCCTCAGCTACTTTTGCAGCCTGACATTCCCCAGGCAAAATTTTGTTTTCTCATTCACTCAACACCTACCTTCAAATAAAGGGCAAACTTTCCTCCAACACGTGATGCCACCTTCACTTGTGAATTGCCCCAGAGCTGTTTCCAGGAAAAAAACAGGAATTCCACAGCAAATAAAAAACACCACGTAGGGAATCAGGAATGCCCCTGGAAAGATGCAAAGAGATGAGATGAAAACTGCCCCAGCCATTTCAAGTTTAGCACAAGACATCTGTAATAAGCGCCTACTACAGGCAAGATGTGATGTTCTCTGAGCTTGAGTCCAAGTGCCCACTACGAGGACCAGAGGCAGGAAGCATGGCTGGAGTTGTGCCCTCTGCCACCGAGTCCCTTAAGTAAGCCTACTTCACAGCTCTAAACCTCAGCTTCTGCAACTGTAAAGTGGGGTTCAGTCTTTAATATTCGCACTGCTTATCTCACAGAATTGGTGTACAACCGAGACAATAATTTAGCCATTCAATTTTTAAATTATTCAATTATTTTATTTATTTATTCTTTTATGAATGCATATCATCCATCCTCCAGCACAGGTCAAATTCCCTCCCTGAAGGTTAACAGCCTTCTTTTTCATTCTAAAGGAAACTCACCAAGCCAGGTGAGGGGTCCTTTCCTCTTATTTACTTTGGAAGTGACCTGTTATTTTTCACATAAAGAAAAGCCTTCACAGGGAATTATACAATGAGCAGCATCAAGCCTTAAAGAGTTAAGTGCCCCTACACAGAGGCCCAGGGATAGCGTCAAGTTGTAAGGATTTTACAGCAAGAATCTATCCAGCAAAAGCTGGCTTTGAGTCAGTCTGGGAAAAGACCACCCTAAGCTTCAGTGCTCCTATATCAAAACACAATAACCATGGCCTGGGTCTTTCTGTGAAACAAATTAAATAACTAAGGTGAGCATGATCTATTACACCCAGAAGGAGATTTCTCCAAATCCCTCATTCTCGCTCCCCCGTCTAATAACAAAGCATAAAAACACCTGCTAGTCTCCTCATCTGATCTCACAAATGAAGGCTTTCATTGAAAGTGCTCTTTGCTAAATGAAGTCTCTTTCACCACAAAGATTAATAGTAACAGTTTTGATCCATCCTGATAGCAGGGCTTTATCTACCAGGTTGTGAAAGGGTCTTAGCTTTTCTGGGCAAGTGACTCATTTAAAGTTGCATACTGGGAAAGAAATACTTTAAACTATTGCTGGAATCTAGAAGTGGAGCCATGTTGATTTTTTTTAAAAAGGTAAACGTTGAGAAGTAGACACCTCAACTATATTAGAAGGAAAAAAAGTGTGTAAAAGGAGATAAGATCTGTTTCACTAAAGCTAAATCTAAGCAATTAAGACAAGCTACAGCAGGTGCCCTAATATATTGTTATTTACCTGGGAGCCCTCTAGAACCTAACAGATGACACTTTCTGAAGACCTTTGGGCCTGTGTTTTCACAGCTAGCAATCCTTAAGATAATGAACTCAATCAAACCAGGAGATCCATGCATCCAGTGGAAACTCTTGGCAAGTTAGAGTAGGGGAAAAAAAAAAAAAACAATGACTCATTTAAAAAATTTTACACACTACAACCTTTAAAAAAAAAATCTGTGACAGAATTTGTAATTAATCCAATTTACCCTGTTACCCTGTTTTCTGTGGTTAGGAATGCTTTTGGTTTTGGCATAACAACTTCCTGTATGGAAAAAAGATGTGAAAGCGGTGTGTGCCTGGGACACCCCTCCAGGGCTTCCACAGTTCACCAAGTGGAGGCCAAATCTGCAGGCAGACAGGATTCACAGCTGAGCGCACAGGGCACGTTGGGGGGCTCAAAGTCCACTCCCTCTCTCCCCCTTGCCAAGCCACCAACACCGGCGGCCTCTTCATTACCAGTGCAGAGCAGGCTTGGAGCAGCCTGTGCCTTCAGGACAGGCTTTGAATGTCCCCAAAGAAAGGGCCGGGGCCAAGCAGTCCCCTTCTCGCTCTCCGGCAGCTGCTCGCACAGGAAGTCCTGCCCTGCGCAGCCTGACAGCGTGGCTCCTGCCAGCCAACTTCTCAGCCACCTTCTCTGGGGTTTGGGAATTTGCTGGAGGGGCAGGGGCAAGGAGGGGGCAGAATACACAGACACAGGCTTTTTCTTGAGCCACCAAAGACGGTTTTACAAGATCCCTTGCCCTGGGCCTGTTTGGTTGTCTGCTGCTACGACAGGAGGGCGTCCTGACGTTGAGATGTTGTTGCTAGAACTGACTCTACGGCCTTCCCTCCCGCCTTGCGCGTCTCTAACCACCTCAAACATCAATCAGCGTTGCTGCTATCTGCTGTGGGCAACTCTGAGACCAGTAAAAGAAACTGCTTGGAGCCAATTTCTTCCACCAGAAGGGCCCCAAATCTTCAGCCCTAGGCCATAGGTAGGAAAGCACACAGCAATGCCTCACCTAAAAGTTCTCCGGGTCGTGAGTCCAATCCCAGTTTAAAACAAGGCCCGTGATGTCAGAATCCCATCTTTATTTCTGATTCAGTGAGTGACTTCTCTGACCCTTAGTTTCCTCACCTGCAGAATGGGTATACTGCTGTCTACAAAGGAGACTGCGAGGATGAAAGGTGATGATATAGGTAATGCTCGGCATGGTATCTGACTCCAGGGCTGAAAAACGGACACCACTCAGTTATGGGTCCTTTTCCGTCGGGCCGTTTCCGGTTAGGCAAGCTGAGGCTCAAAGGGACGGGGTGTCGTCTCCTCCCCAAAACACCAGGGCGGGTACCAAAAGCAGGGGCTCGCGGCTCGGTCTGCACTCAGGCGAGAGACAAAACGCTCCCGGCGGACAAGACCCCGCGCGGGCAGGTGGCGCGCTCAGGTGCGAAGCGGCGCATGCGCACTGGCGCAGACGGGCCACGCCGGGGCTGAGCTCGCGGCCCCGGCTCGAGGCGCCGCGCGCGAGTCC